AAGAATCATGTATCTATTCTTTTTGCATTGGGAGCTATTGTTGGTAGTGCTTTATCATCAAGTTTATCGAAAACAATACCATTAGGTTCAGAAAATGGAACAAATATACTTAGTAGTATTCTTGGAGGATTTATATTACTGTTAGGTGCTCGATGTGCTGGAGGATGTACTAGTGGTCAAGGAATCTCAGGTAGATATTGAACGTTTGTTCTCATTTGATATATAATTAATAAATCGTTTATTTTTGTTTTTGTCAAGGTACGACACATCTTCTAGTTGGTTCATTCATTACTACAGCGAGTATATTTGGTGGTGGTATTATTTTTGGTTTTAGTACATTATTGAGTAATAATGAATGGTTATTTCAAAATCTTTGAACTTTCAATTGATCCGTACTGAAGATGGTGACAGAATCTTTGTAATTATTGACAAAAAGAATTTTAATTTTAATAAATAAAGAAAACGGAAACGAAACATTCAGAAATATTTGATGATAGTATCAGTTCTAGAGATTTCAAGTACTGCTCATTCGAGAAGTGTTTGAGGACTAAGGTTCAGGGATTCTTCAGATTCCTACACTTACCGAGTTAACCTACTATAATTCTCGATGATTCGAAAATGGATCTTAATATTCATTGTAAGATATGAAGGTATGAGAAGTAATTGAGTTCGATAAATAGGGTCATGTTCATCTGACTCTATTACCTGTTAATGGATCGATGGAGAAATAAAATCGATACTGTTAGGTATATCAATATGAGTTCTTAGTTCTTCGAGAATGAAGACATGTTTCTCCGATCTTTTCAAGGAATAGGAAGATTTTCTATCCTGTTTTCGAACATTGTCATATTCGATGTTTACTTTCATTTAGTCCGTACATAGAAGTTAGTGTTTCTGATATCGATCGTATATTGGTTATGAGTGAATATTTAACCTAATATTACGCATCTTATTCAATAGCATTCCATATTGAGAACTATTATCACTATTGATAAGTCAATAATTGATTATATGCTTCATAGTTGAAGTGATTTTTTGGAATTATAGTACAGATCATCGAATATGCTTCGATTAATCTAATTTTATTCCCAATAGACTATGTAGTCAAATACATACATTCAGATTGAATTAATACCAATAATTAATGTAACATAACATATCAAGTGTCTGCATATTTCCTTGAAGAAACAAAATCAAAGAAGTTTTACTAAAATTTTTTTCTCACACATGCCTATGTCTGCCATACGTATTCTCATCTTCTCTGTCTTTCCGTGATCTTTATTCTATGATTTATGAAATTAATTTGGTAGAATTTTGACATTATGTATGAGACTAATATTAGTTCTTCTCTTCTCAAGAACAGTTATGTGTTCTTTTGGAGTAAGTTTTTCCTAATACATTACAAAGTGAATGATCCTTTAAGAAATAAAGTAATATTACACAAGAAGCAAGAATATATTTTTCTCCCTTTCTTTTCTTTCCTATACGTCTTAACATTTGTTTTGCCTATCAGTTTCAATGTCAAGTCTTTTATCTGTTTAACATTTGTAAGCATTAGCAAATATTAGAGTTAAGTTGAAAGTGAAAGAAAAAAACAAAAAACGTAAGCTTTATTCTTTCAAAACTTGATAGTAGAATTCAGGGGTGTGGTCTGTATAGGATTGGATGAAGTCTTTGTTTGTTTGAGAACGCTCGTCAGATATTGATCTAAAGTGCCTGTGAGAAATTTTAATAAATACAATATGCAATCTCGATGTACAGCTTTTGAATATCACTTTTTAGCGATGAATATTATTGAAGACGTGCGTTATGAAATTTGTGTAATGCTACGATATTTTATATGCTATAAGAATTTCAATTCATATATGATATTTACGACCTTTTCATTATCTACGTATCAATGTGGTCAGAAACTCAGTGTTACATTCGCAACAGATTCAAAAAGCTAAGATAGGAGCTCGAGTAAAAATAAAAATGAGTTTAGCATGCCATGTTTATATGATTAACTTATAATAGAAGTCTATTTATTTAAAAAAAAACAGAGCAATCTACATTGGACTGTTTAATTCACAAAAGATCGTAACATATTATATGTCGCCTTGTAATCCACAAATCAAATTTGCAGGAAGAGCTTTATCTAAAGTAAAAGTACAAATAAAAATAAATATTCATTATAAACTATATCTATTTTTTACCGATTTGTTTTGGATAACTAAGTTTTAGATTATTCATTATATCAATAAATTCTTCTCGTGATTTAGTTAATCGTGGATTATGAGTTTTTTCTTCAAGAATACTTGAACATGTTTGTCCTAAATAAATAATCCTATGAAGTTTATAACCTTCTTGAGAACAAAGAAAACCATGAATACCTGTATAATCATGTGCAGGAAAAACAAGATAATGATCAGGTAAGACAAATATTTTTGTTTTTATTGATGTATAAAGTTGATCTGCACTTCCTTGTTGAAAGTCAGTTCGACCACAACCACGAATTAAAACAGCATCACCTGTAAACACTGCCCCATAATCATGCCAAACAAAACTCATACAACCTTAAGTCATTGGGTTTTTTGTTTGATTCAATTTAATTATGTTATCTTTTTTTTCATTTTATACTTACCATTTGTATGACCAGGAGTTGAACGACATTCAATTACTACTGGTGTTTTACCTGATTCTCCTATTTTAATGAATTCACCATCTTGAACATAAATATCTGCTTTGGCACCACTCTGTTTCGAAAGAACACTTTTACATTCTGGAAATAATGTTTTCAATTTACCACTTCCTGTTACATGATCAGCATGAACATGTGTATTAACTGAAAAAAGAATGGACAAAGATAAATTAGTTTAAAATAGGATTTTTGAATACCTGCATATCGTAATTTTAGACCAAGTTGTTGAATAAGTTTAGCATCACGTTCAACAGTTTCAATAACAGGATCAATAATTAAAGCTTCTTTTGTTGTTGGATCAGCTAATAAATATGTATAAGTTGATGATACAGGTTCATATAACTGTTATAAAAATAGAAAACAAAATTATTAAGTACCACGATTTTTCTTTTAAGAAATTTCATTTTGATTCATACTTGTCGAAAAATATATTTGGACATTATTTTAAATTTGTTTGAACGATTTTTATACGATACAAGTTATTGAACACACCGATATCTAGAATATCAAAAAAGAATGAAACTTACCCCCGTATCGTTAAAAAACAAAAAGGAAAAGAAAAGAAAAGAAAGTTTTCGTCCTTGAATAAATTTTGAATTCATTGGATCACTTACGCTGTTGTCGTTTATATAGGATTTACATGACCCTCATTTGTACCCATTATATGAATTAAAATAATGGGTACTTTATAGGTGAACAGATAGTGATACTGCAGCGACACACAAGTCAATAAATTCATTTTGCTATGGTGAAAAGAATACTATTTTTTTTTACAAAGGTGAAGCAAACATGCATCGTCAGCGTACTTGAATCACACGCTCATTACTCATTGATTTGACAGTATATAGACAAACAGTGAGAAAATATGTTTACAGTAAAAAAATTATTCTTCTACTTTGAAGACATTAGCAGAAGAAAATATACTTCAAGATAAATTGATTTATAAAAACTCTAAATATCTAAAATAATTTTTTTTCTATTTAAAATGATAATTGTCGAAGATTTTCTCCAAGCCTCGAAAAGGCAAAAATACATATATAGGAAACTGACAATCACAATCATATGTTACCATTGCATTCTAGAAAAAAAGCCAAAATAGCGAGAAGATTCTTATATAATATTGAATGGACGTTTTTGTCGTCAAACGCAAGCGTATATAAGGACATTGCAGTTACTTGTTTTTCTTTCTTTCTTCCTCTCGCTGTTTGACTTCATAAATGTACCCATCGATCCACATTTATACCGCTGTTTTTTTTCTCTCTACTGTATTCAAAAGTCTTTTAGTATTGGATTATATTACCGGGCAATGTTGAGAAAAAATATCGACAAGCAAAATAAAGACAAAACGGCTGTACATGGAACGCTTGAGCCGGAAAATATCAACATGTCACCACTAAAAGAGAAAAGTTTTGAGTAAGTTATGTTACAAATATAAAGAATTGTTTCTGTACATTGAACTTCCTCTTTTTATCGAAAGTTTTTCGGATATTCGTACTGTTTTATATGCTATTGTATTTGGTATTTTATTTGGATTTTTTATGAACAAAGGTACAGTATTTGTAGCTCCTACAATTCGTAAACAAATGTTATTTCAACGTTTTGCAATGTTAAAAATGTTTCTTGCTGCTCTTGGAACATCAATGTTAAGTGTAGCTTTACTTACACTTTGTTCTCCAAAATTATATGAAAAAATTCTTAATGGTTATATTGAACATAATAGTCGTCGTGGAAGTAAGAGAATCTTTTTCAACTATTCAGAGATCTATTATAGTTAAGAGTAAAAATTATAGTTCTTCATTACATACTCGGTGGTACACTTATTGGATTAGGAATGATAACATGTGGTAGTTGTCCAGGAACTGTTTTTGTTCAAGTGTAACTATGATTATTATTTCATATCAAGTATTGTTTTGATTTTTTTCATGTTTTTTTTTCAGTGGTTCAGGTATTGTGAATTCTCTATTTACTTGTTTGGGTGGTCTTCTTGGTACATATTTCTATTATATATTTGTACATGAACAAATTTCACTTGAGAAACTTCCTTCATCATCTCTTGTTCTTCGACGTATTAGTGATTTATTTCATATTCATAGTGTTATTGTTCATATAGTATTTGGTTTAGTTCTTGTTGGTATATCAATAGGTTTAGAATTTGTTATTCCATGGAAATCTGATTTAAATCCTAGTTTATTAAGAAAAAGTACTCTAAATCCAAATAGAGCATTAGGTCATTTTTTGGGTATGGCTGCTTGGCCACCATCCGTTTGTGGTGCTGGTGTTGGTCTTTTACAGCTATTTTTTATATTTTTTCTTGAGAAATCATTAGGAATCTCATCAGCATTTACTGTATGTGCTGCACAAGTATGTCGAATAAAGAAAATTGGTCAATTATTACCATCATTGAATTCATTTGCTTATGGACTTAAGAATCATGTATCTATTCTTTTTGCATTGGGAGCTATTGTTGGTAGTGCTTTATCATCAAGTTTATCGAAAACAATACCATTAGGTTCAGAAAATGGAACAAATATACTTAGTAGTATTCTTGGAGGATTTATATTACTGTTAGGTGCTCGATGTGCTGGAGGATGTACTAGTGGTCAAGGAATCTCAGGTAGA